TGGTTTAGCCGCTGGCTGGGCTCGGAGGTGACAGCGCGCGGCACGTGCTGTGGTTGGAGAGCCCCGGGAGAGGAGAAGTGAAGGTCACAGGTGGGGAATGCAGCCCGGCCCGGCCCCTGCCAGGTCCCGCAGAGCGCGAGTGCCGGGCAGAACCAGCAACGAGACAGCCGTGCCCTTTGCCTGACCGGGAGGTGGTGCCATTCGGGCTGGAGCGACCGGGGCCCGCTGACTTGCGTGCCCGCTAGGGGTGGGCTGGTGTTTGCTGAAGAGGAAAAGACAAACCGCCCACCTTTTGTCTCCTGAGCGCTTCTTCTTCACTGAGCAAACACTGAGGGGTCATAACTGGGTGGTGTCATTCGGTCTGGCGACCCCAGAGGGCTACAAAATGCCAACTGAAGCATGCACGGTGAGCGTGTTGTGCAATCGGAGTCACCCCAGACGTCCTCAGTCCGCGTCCTACAGGGATCCTTCATTTAACCAGCTGTCACAAAAACAGGAGATCGCAAACCAGGTCCAACGGGAGGTCTGCGTGTGACTGGCAGAATTGTTATGCTGCCTCCTGCCAGTGGTTTTTGATCCAATTTATTTGTTATTCCTGAAAAATGTAGATGCACTGCAATGTGCTTTGTGTTTCTCTGTATGTACTCACTCTGGTAGGTTGTATTTGGGCCTTCTGACCTTATCTTTCCCATGGATCTTTCTAAAGTCCATGTAATATTATCTTAGTACAAAACTTGTTTAAATTTTTAAAGGTAATGGTAAGCAACTAGTAATGACACCTCAGTGTTTGCTTAGTGAAGAAAAATAAGCGCTCAGGAGACAAAAGTAAGTTTCAGGTGTTCAAAGGTGGGGATAAAGAAAGCTTGCAATGTGTTCCACTAATCTTCTCTAGTAATGCTAAATATTTTCTGTAAAGAAACTGCTGTGTTTAAAAATTGATGACAGTCTCCATAAAAAATAGAACTTCAGTTTGTTCTTGCCTTTTGCCTTCTAGTGCACATCACTGCTTGAACTTCTGAATAATTAAAATGTATATTTCTCTTCTTATTAAAAAGAACGTGCATTTATATATTTAGATGAGAATGTTTTTTGTTGTTGGGAGGGTTTTTTTGTACTGTAATTTGAATGAAAACAGTCAAGAAGGTCTCTGAGTAGTTTTCAAAACTGCAGCTTTACAGTTTAGTTTGGAGCATAGCAGTGATACTTTTTGAGTCAGGAAGTATATAATCTGTAGCAATGCTTCTCAATCATACTGAATGTTTTCATCCTAACTGTATACTTCAATATTAGTAACACAGAAGTGCACTAAGAATCTCTGTCCACAGAACACTACAGCAACCGCTAAAACAGTTCTTCATCCATTTATGCAAAGTAAAAATACCCATCAGATTCCTGCTCAAAGAGAAAAGTCTGAATAGCATGTGATGAGACAAATGCTGCTAGACACAATCTGGCATGTGATAACTGTTTTTTTTTAAATGAGGTTATTGATCCTTTTAACAGCCCCAAGTGTGTATACAGCTGCAGAAATGACTGGACAATATACATATATTTTAAATTGCAATAGACCCTGTGAATATAAGATTAAATTGCTAGGAGCTGGAGTCCATTTTGCCTTTCTAGTCACCCTAGTTACAACTCTGATGACAGAGATGCTTTATATTTAATGAAAGATCCTACAGGAACATAACACTTAGTATACATTATTAATTTTGGGTGCACTTACAGAGTGCAGTTAAAATACTTACTAGTCACAGTAGTATGTTAGGTTATTCCTAAGCTCAGTTTGACATTTAAACTGATATGCAATAGAATTCTTTGGCGGTGCCTGTTGGAGCTACATTGGGGTGACTATCAATTCCCCAGAATCAGACAAAACAAACCCAGCTAACGTTACTGTGCCCAAAACAAAATAAATCTTCAACCACCACTGATAGCATGGTGTAATTGCTGCATTTGTGAAGGCTTAAGGAAGGTTGGGTAAGACAGAATCTTGCATGGTGTCCTAGACCAGGACTCTGGGAGTAACTTCCAAATTTGAACTATTGGGACCAGAAGTATGTAAATCTAAGATCAAGGGTGCTTTCCATTCTTCCTCTTTAAAGTGACAGGGCCCAGTGGCTATTTTGATCACCAGTATGACAAAATCACACAGGGACAAAATCATTTTCTCACATAGGTATGGCCCGGTTAGGGCCATAGGATTTTATAGCTTACACAAATAGACAGCCAGTATATCTTGTAGACTACAGATGTAATGTTCTAATGGTGAGATACTCCAAGTAGCAGTTTAGTTAGTTAAGTACTTGCTTAATTTTTTTTTTGGCAGCGGATTTTGTTTCAACTTTCTTTGGATTCATCACTGTCCAGTTTAGGTTAGATAATATTTTCTGTTATTTTATTAGCCCTTTATTTTAACATTATTTTAATATTTTATACAGCTCCTCTTCGCCGGATGTCCTCTGGCAGCGTGCCTGGCTCTTCAGGGGAGAACCTGATTTACTATTTGTTTGCTGGTGTGGCATGTACTGCTGGTGGATATTATGTAAGTTCCTGGTGTTTTAGTAGTATATGGAAGATATCAGTGGCATGTGGGTGAGATGTAGCATGATCACATAATCAAACATGGATTTAAAATGTGGACACAAAGTTCCTTGGTGAACTACCTCTTCTCTCTCCATACTGGAGAAATGAGATGATGGGTTCTGGATAATTAAATATCAAGTTGGCAGGGGGAGGGGAAATCCCTCATCCCAAACTGAAGAAGAAAATTCTCTGTTGGAGATTTTTGTGGTGAGAATTTCACACCAAATGTTGATGCTCTTCTACTTCAAGTATTTGGTTTGTAACAATTTCTACTGCAGATTGGCAAGCATTTTTTTTAAATTAAAGACAGACTTGGGTCTGTTTTGACCGCCTCATTTTAGGGTTTGTAAAGCATACATTTTAAGAGAAATATTTTCTTGTTTTGAAATATTCATTTCCAATTCCTAAACAATGCAGTGTTATGTGAATGTGAGACTGACTGGTTTGTTTCCACTTTGAAAATGGAGGCAAACAAAATTTAAAACTAGAATTTTGAATTATTAAAAATTTAAAGTAGATTTATTTTATTCATAATCTAAAGTCTTTCAGCATAGGAAAGAGCACTTGATGTTTTTAAAAAATTCCTTAGTAGAGCCATGGAAATAAGTGCAGGCATGTCATTTTATTTTCAGGCCTATAGAACAGTCACATCAGACAAAAAGAGGTATAATGAACGTATTCATGCTATTCAACAGAGTAATACTGCAGAGTGGAAACCAAAACCCTGGCCACCACAGGGTAAGTTTTTGTTTTTAATTGTGTTTTTACCAAGTTTCTTTCAGCACACGAATCCTGCAAGAAATGGAACTTATTTCTAGACTAAACAGTCAGAAACCTTTGTCATACTCTGACTCCTTCACAGTCCGCAGCTTTTACTTGCTTTATAAGTTTAAATCAGTCTGCTTTTTAAATTGTAGAGAAAAAAAAACGTAATGAGAAGACAGTGAATCTGGTATTTCTTCCATTAGAAGAAATACATTTGAAAGGAAATGGTTAAAAGAGGAAACAGTAATAGCAGATCGGGTGATAGAACTTAATGACTGAAAGCTTAATTAAACTTGACTAAATGAATAATGCTGTCAAAACCACTTCTGTTCTTTTGTTTATTTGGGAAGCGAAATAATATTTTTGTCCTGGTCAACAGTTTGGCTCCAGGCCATACATCAGTGAACACAATCACTATACAGTCCAATGTCAGCAGCTCAGCAGGCTGGGAGGAGAAGGTGAAATTTAAGTTTTCAAAATACTATGTATAAAATTCATTTCCTCTTCCTGCCCTCTCATCTCCCAAGCACTGGGTTACTTTTAAAGTTAAATTGATATAATTTAAATTTTCAGCCACTTTAAGTGAACTAGAGGGCTACAGAACTCTGTTAAGTTTAGCAGAGACGTCATTAGCTTAGATACTCATGATGGAATCTTTTTGTTGAAACATTATGGTACAGAAGTTTACAGTCTTTTTCTGATTAATCAGTCTAATATAGATGAAAAACTATGTTTCTCCCTGTGAGGGGGGTCACTCACCACCGTAGCGGGGGTCCGTCGTCTGTCCCCGGAATCAGTCCATTCCGCCCGCACAGGCCTCCGCTCACGTGGCGTTTCCCCTATGGAATCTTCTGGTCGCGTTGCTCTCTTCGCCACACTGCCCTCCGGCAGTGCCCAAGTCACTCGCTCTGAGCCCCCCTTCCGGGGGTTTGGTGTCTCTCCAACAGGCTCGCTGCAGGCCTAGCAGGCTGGCCGGTTGGCTGTCCAAGCGTCCTGGCCCAGCCTGACTCTCTAGCCCTGCCCTAGCTCCAGAGACCGTCCTGCTCCCTCGGCAGCCAGGCTCACAGCCTTGCCGCAGGCCTAGCAGGCTGGCCGGTTGGCTGTCCAAGCGTCCTGGCCCAGCCTGACTCTCTAGCCCTGCCCTAGCTCCAGAGAGCATCCTGCTCCCTCGGCAGCCAGGCTCACACTGCCTTGGCTGAAGCAGCCCTTCCCTTTTATAGCCCCCAGCTGGGCCTTAATTGGCCAATGCCGCCCAGCTGGGCTGAACTCCCCGGGCCTGCTCCAGGCTGGGGTTTGGCTATTAAGGGGCCAGTACAGGGCAGCTGCCCTGTTACACTCCCCTTGGGGTTTACTTGGCCATGTTTATATGTGCTATTTCAGATACTAGTCTATTTGTATGTGCTAGAGTTCACACAATGTGTACAACCTAACACTACTAAAACAATTTAAAAAAGGAGAGAGATTAAGGGAAATTAGGTTAAAAATGACCAGAGGGTTTTATTGAACAATAGTCCATCAAGTGCAATTCCAGTATTGAAAGTAACTGTAAAATGGTAGTGTAAGCATCCCTATGTATATTGCTTTAATTGCCAAATCAAATGGGATTAGTTCACAAATAAAGATATGGCATTTAGCTGGAACATGTGTTTTTGTGGCTAAAGTTTGCAGATATGATTGAATACGTACAGGGAGCAGATTTCTGGAGTAAAAAAGTGCCATCTTTAAAGTCCCATTTTAGAAAAGAGGTACAGGCAGTCCCCGGGTTACGTACAAGATAGGGACTGTAGGTTTGTTCTTAAGTTGAATTTGTATGTAAGTCGGAACTGGCGTCCAGATTCAGCCGCTGTTGAAACTGACAAGCGGCTGACTACAGGAAGCCCGAGGCAGAGCTGCTCTGCCCCGGGCTTCCTGGAATCAGCCGCTGATCAGTTTCAACAGCAGCTGAATCTGGACGCCTGGGACAGAGCAGTTGGGGGGCTGCCCGG